TTGCGGCTGCGCGCCCGCGGACGGGTCGAACTGTGTCGCCCAGTTGCGGTTGCGCGCCCGCGGGCGGTTTGAAATGTGTTGTTCAAGGTGCCCTCCTGACGTTCAGTCAGTCAATCAGTCAGTCAATCAGTCAGTCAATCAGTCAGTCACTGGCGGGCACGGAATCCCACCCGGCTCCGCCGGGAACCACATACATACATACATACATACACACACATACATACATACATGCATACATACATACATACATGCATACACACATACATACATACATACATACATACATACATACATACATACATACATACATACATACATACATACATACACACATACATACATACATACATACATACACACACATACACACATACATACATACATACATACATACATACATACATACATACATACATACATGTATACATACAGTCATACAAGCATGCACACACATTCATTCATATTTCCACGCATCTGTACATGCATACACACATCCATCTACACCTACACATACACACATACACCCATACATACACATACACACGTACAGTCATGCGTACATACATACATACATACATACATGAATTTGTGCACATGCATGCATGTACGCATCTACGCACACCCATACGTACACACAAGCATGCATAATACACACATACTCATGTACATACACATGCACATACACATGCACATATACATGCACATACACATGCACATACACATACACATACACATACACATGCACACATGCACACATGCACACATGCACACATGCACACATGCACACATGCACACATGCACACATGCACACATGCACACATGCACACATGCACACATGCACACATACACATACACACATACACATACACATACACATACACATACACATACGCATACGCATACGCATACACATACACATACACATACACACACGTACACACATACATACAAACAATCATACATACATACATTCACACATCCATACTTTCAGTCATACATGTATATCTACATGTGCAGATGTTTACGTATCGGTATACTGATGTGTATACTGAGTGAGGACTAGGGCATCCTATGCATTGGCGCACAAGCATCGCTCGGTGAGTCACTTGTGTTTGAAAGAGCGGGAGCGGGATCATATAGCGAGCACTGACGGGGTGCGCACGGGGCAAGCTGGGAGGCCAGGGACCTATCTCGGCTGCGAGCGAGGGGGGGGGGATGGAGCGAGGAGGGGCGGGCCTTCACAGATGGCTCGGAAGGTCCTGAGCCTTTGAGAAGTTTTCCAAGCTTTGCCCGAGGACACGAAACTTTCCCAGAAGGCGCGAGGCCTTCTGAGAAGCCCCGCCGCCTTCTGAGAAGAGAACTAGAAGGCCTACGCATCCTCACTCTCCCGCGGGCTCGCCGCGTGGCATCCTAGCAGGCAGAGATTTGTGCGAGCGATGCCAACGCCCCGATGGGGCTTACTTGTTTTTTAGTGTGGCCTTCGGTGGGGCAGGCAGGCACTCGATGGTCTGGTACGAGTGCGCCGATCTGCCTGTGGGTCGAGGTGCAGCCCACGGGCCACGGCGAGGAAGACGCCACGTGTCAGGTCGTCACGAACCCTGCTTCACCTCCCCACCTGAGCCTTTGGACGATTCTTCAAGCGTCGCGTATCCCCACCAGCTCAGCCTCAGCCAGCTGCCTCCCCGGCGGTAGGTTCTGATCCCGCGCTCGGTCGCTGTGCATTTAGGCTCGCGCGTAGCACCTCCCCTAATTAGATCGGCCCGTGGCCCGGACCTTTCAGCTCGGCGCCTGCGCTTTCGCTTGCGCCCGCGAGGAAAAACGTATCCCCACCAGCCCATTCAGAACCCCTGCCCATGAGAGTTGACGGGGGAATGGACGAAGAGGCACACGGGGACGAAGAGGCACATATAGTGACACAGAACGGGCAGCCTGGGTGAATAGAGAACTCTCTGGGAGCAATGGGGATGCCTTGGAGGGCCTCTTCGGCCCTCCCCGGGGCCCGCGGCAGGGCGAGGGAAGGATGATGATCTTGCTCATGATGAAGATGATGATGCTGCTGATGATGATGATGATGATGATGATGATGATGAGGATGAGGATGAGGATGAGGATGATGATGATGATGAGGGTGAGGATGAGGATGAGGATGAGGATGAGGATGATGATGCTGATGCTGCTGATGATGATGATGATGGTGATGATGATGGTGATGCTGATGATGATGCTGATGATGATGAGGAGGAGGAGGAGAAGGACGAGGAGAAGGAGGAGGAAGACGACGACGGCCGCCACGACGACGAGGAAGAGGAGGAAAAGGAAAAGGAAGACGATGAGGGCAAAGACGAGGACGAGGAGGAGGAGGAGGAGGAGGACAACGAAGACGAGGACAGCCCTCAAAATCGCCTCTTGGAGCCCTCTTGGGACTCTTCTGGGGGATCTTGGGGTCCTCTTGGAGCTCTTTTGGGGGATCTTGGGGCCCTCTCAGGGCCCTTTGGGAGCCCTGGAGGGCGTCTTGATTTTGGAGGCACCTGGGGCCATCAAACTTGCCTCTTGAGGCGCTCTTGGGACGCTCTTGGGCCGATCTTGGGCGCTCTTGCGCGGCCCGCCCCAACAAACCTCAAGGAGGGGAGGGGGAGGGTACCCCTCCCCGACGGGAAGAGGGATTTTGGAAGATTAGACCGACCACCTTCGCCCACAGGGTTAGTGGGATAAGAGCAGTGGTTTCCGGAGAACAGCAGTTGGCTTTGCATGCACTATTGGGGGAGCAGCTCCCCACCTGCATCCTCTCTGGTTGGAAGCCCGTGGGTTCGGAAGCATGCGAGGAAACTTGATGAGGTCGAACTTCCACATACAGCCCTTTGGTAGCCAACGGTGGTAATTTGACGCCGAGCCTAGGTCGACTCAAGACCGAGCCCAGATAGTTCCCAACCATCCTGTGGTGTTGGGTCCTCGTTTTGAAGAGACAGCGCCCCGCGTTCCTCTCCTCTCCTCTCCTCTCCTCTCCAATCATCTCCTCTCCTCTCCTCTCCTCTCCTCTCTCTCCCTCTCCTCTCTCTCCTCTCCTCTCCTCTCCTCTCCTCTCCTCTCCTCTCTCCTCTCTCTCTCCTCTCCTCCTCCTCTCCTCTCCTCCTCCTCTTCTCCTCCTTCCTCTCCCTCCCCCTCCTCCTGCCCCTCCTCCCTCCTCCCATCCGCCTCGTCACCTCCCTGCGTTTCACCCACCCATGACAGCGCTTCCTATTTTGGCACACCCCTCACGAGGATCGTGGCCCCACAGGGAGCTCCACCGAAAGCCCCAGCGGCAGGGTACGCACGCGTCCCCCCGTCCATTTCGGCACACCGCTCACGAGGACCGTGGCCCCATAGGGAGCTCCACCGAAGGCCCCAGCGGCAGGGTCCGCATGCGTCCCCCCGCCCATTTCGGTACGCCCCTTACGAGGATCGTGGCCCCACAGGGAGCTCCACCGAAGGCAGGGTCCGCATGCGCCCCCCCGCCCATTTCGGCACACCCCTGACGAGGACCGTGGCCCCGTAGGGAGCTCCACCGAGAGCGGTGCCCACAACGCGGCACTCACAAGTGCATATGGTTGGGTCCTTCGCCAGGACGGTTTGTTTTCTTGTCTGATCGCAGATAAGTTGTACCGAGCAGTAACGCCGCTTCGACAGATGGCGATTGACGCATCAACGCGTTTGTGTTTCAGATGATTGCTAGTAGGCTTGCAGCGGTCCCAGCCTGCGTCTCACACGGAGTCTTGCCTTGTATTCCTCAGACAAAGTCGGCCCCAGCCTCCGTGCTCTACAACGGGTCGGAGTATGCCAGATATCCAGCCGCTGCGGCTGGAACGACGCTGCCTGCGCTGGCTACCTCTTCGATTCCAGCGTACGCAGCTGTCGCACAGGCAGCCAGGGGTTTCAACGACTTGGGGACGATTCGGTGCCATTCGATACCGGGTTGACTGTTGCAGTGGTTCGGCTGGTACGCACCCCAATCCCAGTCCCTTTGCAGTGACAATAGGGTCGTGCGCCAAACTCAACATCTGTGTGCGCACCCATACGTGTGTCCAACCAGTTTTTAGCTCGGTGTAAGATATCTGCAGCTGTAGTCTCAAGGAACTCGCTGATGCCAGTGTGAGGCCACCAAGCGGTTTGTTCATGCTACAAGTGTAGACCGTTGCTTGCATGAGTGGAAACCGAAGTGCGTGGGGCCCTACGCGAGAACAGGCCCCTAGGTGTTTCCATCCATCCGCAAACATGATGCGTGTCTCTCTATATATATATATTGATATATATATATATATATATATATATATTGACATGTGTATATGCATGCATGCATTTTTGTTTTTTAGTACATATGTGTATGTATGCATGCATGTATGTGTAGTTGTTGGTGTATGTCTATATGCATGTATGCATGTCTGGATGTATGCATGTATGCATGTGTGCATGTCAGAGTGAGGGGGGCGAACGGTCATTCATTTTCCCTGGGTGCGTGGCCGAGGAGAGAATCCGTGGTGAGGATTCTGCTTGTTGTTGTTGTTGTTGTTTTCATCGTTCCCCCCCCGCGACCCGCCCCGCGACCCACCCCGCGACCCACCCCGCGACCCAGCCCGCGACCCACCCGCGACCCACCCTGTGACCCACCCCGCGAGCCACCCGCGACCCACCCGCGACCCATTTGCGACCCATCTGCGACCCATCCCGCGACCCACCCGCGACCCACCCGCGACCCACTCGCGACCGATCAACATTCGTTTGAAGAAAAAATCTGCGCCTGCGGCGGGCTCGTTGTATAATTTGTGAAACGTTGGCGCCTTCGGCGGGCTTCTCCAGGGTCTCGCAGGCTGCCGACGTCCCCACCGCCCCGTCACTCGTATCCGCATCTGCGGAGTGCTACGTATGCATTTACGCATGTATATATGTATGTAGGTATGAATGTATGTGTGTATGTAAGTAAACATGTATGTATGTATGCCTGCCTGCACGTACGTATGTATGTATGTATGTATGCATGTATGTATGTATGTATGTATGTATGTATGTATGTATGCATGCATGTATGTATGTATGTATGTATGTATGTATGTATGTATGTATGTATACATGTACGTATGTATGTACGTATGTGCGTACGTGTGCATGTCTGTACACACGTAAGTAGGTACGTATGCATGCATGCATGTATGCATGCATGCATACATGCATGTATGCATGTATGCATGCATGGATGAATGTATGTATGTATGTATGTATGTATGTATGCATGTATGTATGTATGTACGTGTGTATGTATGTATGTATGTATGTATGTATGTATGTATGTATGTATGTATGTGTGTATGCATACATGCATACGTATGTACATATATATATGCATATGTATGTATGTATGTATGTATGCATGTATGTATGTATGCATGTATGTATGTATGTACGTATGTATGTATGTATGTATGCATGTATGTATGTACGTACGTACGTATGTATGTATGTATGTATGTAGGTATGCATGTATGTATGTATGTATAGATGTATGTATGTATGTATGTATGTATGTATGCATGCATGTATGTATGTATGTATGCACATATATATATAGATATATACACGTAGCACCCCGCAGATGCGGATACAAGTGAGGGGACGGTGGGGACGTCGGCAGTTTGCGAGACCCTGGAGAAGCCCGCCGCAGGCGCCAACGTTTCACAAATTATACAACGAGCCCGCCGCAGGCGCCGATTTTTTCTTCAAACCAATGTGGATCAGTCGCGGGTGGGTCGCGGGTGGGTCGCGGGTGGGTTGCGGGGTGGGTCGCAAATGGGTCGCGGGTGGGTCGCGGGTGGTCGCGGATGGGTCGCAGGGTGGGTCGCGGGTGGGTTGTGGGGTGGGTCGCGGTTGGGTCGCGGGTGGGTCGCGGGTGGGTCGCGGGGTGGGTCGCGGGTTGGGTCGCGGGTTGGGTCGCGGGTGGGTCGCGGGGTGGGTCGCGGGTTGGGTCGCGGGGTGGGTCGCGGGGTGGGTCGCGGGTTGGGTCGCGGGTGGGTCGCGGGGGGGACGACTACAACAACAACACGTAGAATCCTCACCACGGATTCTCTCTTCAGCCACGCACCCAGGGTCAATGACCGTTCGGCCCTTTCATTCGGATGTGTGTATATATATATATATGTATGCCTGCATGTATGTATGCATGTATGTATGTATGTATGTATGTATGTATATATATATATGAATGTATGCATGAATGCATGCGTGCATGAACGTATGTATGTTTATGCATGTACGCATGTATGTAAGCATGTAGATACGCACGTGCGTACTTACGTATGTCTGTCTGTCTGTCTGTCTGGCTGTCTGCCTGTCTGTCTGTCTGTCTGTCTCTCTGTATGTACGGATTTATGTACATGTATGCATGCATGCATATATGTATGCCTGCATATGTGTATATGTGTGTATGTATGTATGTATGCCTTTTTGTATACACGTTCATATGTATGTGCACATGTACGCATGCATATTTGTATATCTCTCTCTATATGTACGTCTTTATGCTTGTACGTTCATAAGTGTGTATGCCTGTTTGTCTATATGTAGGTCTGTATGTATTTGTAGATAGGTGGAGGCCGCTAGGTAGATAGGTCAGTAGGTATATGGGTATGGATGGATGGATGGATGGATGGATGGATGGATGGATGGATGGATGGATTAATGCATGCATGCATGCATGCATGTCGGTCTGTCTGCCTGTCTGTCTGCATCGACAAGGCAAGTTCCATTCGACTTTTTCTAGTTCGCCCAAGAGTTATGCTTGCCTGTCAGAGTTGTGTGCATGTACATTCTTGCAATCTGTATTGGATTCAGTGAAACTGTCTTGGTCGTCCGATCGGTGTTGTCCCTACCATCCCTTGGATGTTCCCCTCCCCCATGCCCTTGCCCTTGGCGATGCCTTTCTCGTGCCCCTTGCCCTTCTGTTGCTGCTTGTTGTTGAGCTCTTCCTGGGTCTTCGAGACCGAGTCATCAAGCTCTTCGGAACGAAGCTCCTCCTGCCAATCGGTCCCGAAATCGATCTCGAAGGTTCCAGTTCGGACGATTGAGGGATAACCGTTTCTGCGCCAATATAGAGCGTGGCCGTATCGCGATCCAACCAGAGAGCAGTTTTTTTACCATCCCCAGTCCATCATCAGCTCCTTAATTGCGAAAGTGAACGACTCGGGAAGACGCTCTTCCAAGGGACGGTCAATGTTAGCCTACACGGCCCACACGCGAGAGCCGTTCCATTCATGGGCGTTGGCGTTGTCCCTGATCTTCTGGACGTCCCTGATCTTCTGCAGCGAGAGAGGGAGAGAGAGTGAGAGAGAGAGAGAGAGAAACGCAGTCGCAACGAGCGCCGGAGAGCAAATGCAAGGGCGGGCAGTTTCAGACCGATGCGCGCGGCGAGTGGAGGAATCTGCCCACCTCGAACCATTATGGCGCCTTTTCTACGCCCCAAGATTCTCCTCCAACAGGCCCCAAAAGCATGCCAAGAAGGGCTCTAGGTGGTCCCTTGGGTGGCCCTAGATGGGCCCAAGATGGCGGCCCAAGATGGCCTCTAAGATTCGGGTGTTGCTAGAAGTTCCCCTGCCCCAAGGTGCCCTAGGATTTTCCAGGAGGCCCCCACGGTTTCTAGAGAACCCCTCACGAGGTCCAGAGAGCCCCAGGGACTCCAAAATGAAGCGAAAAGCTCGGGGCACCTTGGGCTAGGGGCCCTTCTGGCAACACCCGAAAGACGGCACCCGATGGCCCGAGTTGCTTCACGATAGCCGCCAAGCCGCTTCCTAAGGGCCCCAAGACCGCCCCAAGACGGCTCTACGGTGCTTCCCAGGGCGGCCCCCGAGAATCCGAAATCTTCAGCCCATGGGAAAACCGTAGTTCTCGCCCTCTCGTCTTTACCCCAAGACGACCCAAGAGACCTCCAAGACGGCCCCAGCATGCCCCAAGACAGTCCAGAGACGCCTCCAAGACAGTCTCCGAAGGCATCATATTGGCAAATGCGCATTGGGAAGAACCAGCAAGCGCCGAAGAGGCCCGCAGTGCCCCGATGAAGCTTACAGGAGTGCCCAAGAAGTTCCCCAAAGGCTCCCAACGGGACACAATATTGCTGGTACTGCGTTTTGAATGTGTGTTCTGAATCTCGCTGTCTCGGGCTACATGGTTTCGCAACCGTCCTTATCTTCGAGTACATGTTGCAGCCTCTGAGTCGTCCTTTTCCCTGCCGTCTTGTCCACGCCGACGATGATTGCACTTCTTGCGATAGGTTCAGAACTCTTAGTGCTGACGATGGCATTTCTTTCGAAAGGTTCATTTTTCCTCCAAAATTCCACGACGGCCCAGGAGGTTCCCAGATGACCCCCCGAGACCGCCCTCCGACGCTCCAAAGACGGCCCCAGGACCTCCCCGGGCAGCCCCAGCGAGAGGTCCAATGGGAGCCACGATGGCGCACCAGGAGCGCGCGAAGAGAGGCCCGCGGGACCGTCCAGTATAATCCGAGGCCGCGGGCAGGAGGGAGGAGGGGGCATGCAGGAGTCGGGGGGAGGAGGGCAGGGGGAGGATAGGGGGAGGATGTATGGAGGAGGGGGGAGGGAGGGTGGGAGAAGGATGACGAAGAAAAGTACCTTAGCGGAGGAGGGCAGGGGTAGGATAGGAGGAGGATGTGTGGAGGAGGGGGGGAGGGAGGGTGGGAGAAGGATGACGAAGAAAGATACCTTGGTGAAGGCGATGGAGTTGATGGGAGAAGATGTGCGGAGGGGGGAGGAGGAGGGAGAGGGCGAAGAGAGATACCCTGGAGAAGGCGATGGAGCGGGGTCAGGATGGGGGCCGGAGGACCGAGGGACCTGGAGGAGTGAGGAGGGAAGACGAGCAGCAGGAGGAGCAGGCAAGAGGGGAGGAATCTGTGGTGAGGCTTCCCTCCCCGGCCCTCCGAGGGTGCCCTCGTCGTTGTCGTCGCACCTGCTTTCAATCCACACCCTCAGTTCGTGCACACGTGCAGCTGTTTTGTTGTCGAGGGCTGGGGCGTGCTGGAACCGCGCGCTCGCTCCGAGCTCTGATGCTCCCCTCTTCGGCTTTCTCCAGGGGGCTTCTCAGGGCACCTCTTGGGGCCGTCTCAGGCCTTCGCTCTGGAGCCCTTTCGGAGCCTCGTCGTGTTTTTTTGAGGCCTCCCCTGGCCTCTCACAACATTCCGTATCATACGACATCATGTCATAGCATAGTATTGCGAAGGCCTTACGGCCGGTGCCGCCGACCCTGGAGGGGGACGACGACGAAGACAGTGACGATGAATATATTCAAACAGCTGAGGAATGGGAGGGGGGAGGAGAGAGTGACGGAGGAGGTGAAGGGGAAGGGGAAAAGGATGGAGGATGGAAGATAATTAGGAGGAGGAGGAGGAGGAGGAGGAGGAGGAGGAGGAGGAGGAAGAGGAGGAGGAGGATGAGGAGCTGGATGGCGGAGGAGTCGCCATGGATTCGCCATCTACCAGGATGGGCGTGGTGTGTCGCCACCAAGACAAAAGGGCAGCGCGGCAACCACTTTACTGTGTATACACTGTCGGGCTCCCGACGACGACGACGCTGACGTGGATCAGAGTCCTCAGGGGTGCTTCTTGGGGTCTGGTCGAAACGCTTTTGTGGGCCTCGGGGGACAGTGTGAGAGTCTCTTGGGGGCCTCTTGAGGGCCTGTTGGGGCTTCCCGGGGGCCCCTCGGGAGCATCTTGGGGTCTCCTCGGGGTTTCTTGAGGGCCTTTCAGGGGCCTCTTGTTTTCTCCTGGGAGCACTCGGGGCGGAGAGCTCGAAATGTCCGTTTTGGCCCGTCGTCTCGGCACCGTCTTGGAGCCGTCTTGGGGGCCTCTGGGGCCCTTTTGGAGGCGTCTTGGGCCGTCTGGGGACTCTTGGGCCGTTTTGGGTCGCTCGTGGAGTCCTTTGGGGTTGTCTGGGGGCGATCTGGGAGGCCGCTTGGGCCGTCTTGGAGCGTCGGGGAGCAGGAGAGGTGAGAACGCCGAAATCACCCCTCAAACCGATGTAAAATCCACTTTTTTTTGTTCTCGAGGCGCTCTTGGGGCTCTCCTAGAGGCCTCTTTGAGCATCTTGCAGAATTCTTTGGCCGCCTGGAGGCCGTCCAGGCGTCTTGGACGGATCGTTCAGCGATTCGGGGCCCTCGTGGACTGTCTTTGGGAGCTTTTGGGGCACTCTTGGCCCGTCTTGAGGCTTTTTGGTGGCCCGGGAGTCCCAGGAGGGGAAGAGTATCTGACCCGGGCCCCCCCCTCTCCCGACGAGGGAGGGATCAAAGGGAAGGGGCTTCCTTTCGAGTCTAAGACGACGTTGCTCAACTTCATTTTGGCAGACGCACTTGAGGAGTAGAACCCAGGAAAGGAGAGAGGACCGGCGACGGGCACAGGGAAAGAAAAACGCAGGGAAAGAGGACGACAGAGACGACGATGAACGAATGACGGCGACGACGACTCGAACGGAAAAACCCTTCACACACGCCGACAGGGTCGGCAGATTTATACAAAGCTGCCTGAATTGAGACGGGTCTTGAATTCGGCCTCGCCCCTTCATCCGCGTGTCATGAGGGGGTTCGAGGTAATGTCCCGTGGGAGGTCAGCGAGCGGTCTGCACTTGGGGTGGTCGTGATTTCGACCTCGTGATCGTGGGGACGAAGGGGAATGACGGTGGGAACGACAGTGGACGCTATGCGAATCCTCCCACTAGGGCCGTACGTGGAATTAACTCCCTCCCTGGCACCGCAAGTGAAGCTCCCAGGGGCACGATCCGTATGAGGGGCGTGCCGACATTGGTTGGGAGACCCTTCCGGAAGTGGTGGAGTGCATTTCACCAGAGACATCTTCGAAACTATGCTTTCCGAGATGTGGCGTGCGACCTGGTCTGGCCTGTTTCGCCTGAGTCGTCCTTGCAACACTACGCTCCGAGACACCGCCCGCGAGGTGGTCTGGCCCATCTCCCCTGCATTCTCGCCACTTTGTGCTCACAGGTTCAACGTGCGAGATGGTCTGACCAGCTTGGCGTGAGACATCCTTGAATTTCTGGGATCCACTATGCCGCGCGCAGAGTGGTCTGGCCATTCTCGCTTGAGACACCCTCGCAGCTCTCCTGCGACGCCAACTTCGCCAGCCGAAGACGACGAAGGTTTCGACCATCTTCCAGAACAGCGTCCCCAGAACACGTTCGCTCCACAGAATTGGGAATTTGTTCGTTCGCTTGTGTCCCGGCTTGTTCGGCGCGTCTTGCAATTCGTCCCGCGTGCATTTCACCGAGAATCGGAGTGCGCTTGGTTGTGATTGCGCACCACATGGGCACCCGCGCATGGGTGTCACCGAATGTCGCTGAGCAGGATCGCGGAGCCGATGGCCGCACAACGTGGGGCAACTGTGGGTAGAACCGCAGCGTGTGCGAAACTCGCGTGTTTCTAGTTTTTGTTCGGTGTGTTCATATACACATAGACCAGTCGTGCCAGGGGTGTCTCTCGATCGGGAACGCATCGTTCGCATTTGAAAGTGGACGTTGAAGGTACTTGTTCCCAAGGAGATCACATACCGTTTCGCAATTTTTGGATGGAGGGAACGAGTGTGTTGGTAGAAGAGAATTTGGGAAACAATCTTGTCACGCCACTAGCAGCAAACGTGACGGCGGATTACAGAAGGACTAACGCTCTCTCCCTCTCTCTTTGTTTTCTTTATGTATGCATACGTCTTGTTTTCTTTCTTCATGTATACATCTGTATTGGTATGACAACGTAGATGTCTTTCCATCCTTTGCTATCCTTCGCAGTTCATGTTTTTTTTCGCCCAGGCATTTCCAACGAGCACGGCGACAGCGATACCAACCACCACGACAGAAACGAGCTCCACAACAACAATGTTGCGAAGGCGTTTGCTTTTCCTCATCTACATCTGTTGCTGGTTTCGACTATCGTTCTCTGCAGTCAGAGGAGGAGGAGGAGGAGGAGGAGGAGGAGGAGGAGGAGGAGGAGGAGGAGGAGGAGGAACAGGAGGAGGAGGCGGACGAGGAGTAGGAGGGGGAGGAGGAGGAGGAGGAGGAGGAGGAGGAGGAGGAGGAGGAGGAGGAGGAGGAGGAGGAGGAGTCTCTTGACGAAGCAAAACTCATATGTCAAAGTTTGAGCGGACCTCCAGGTGGCGCCACGGTCCCACGTTTTCGATGACAGCAAGTGTAGCCGTCGCGATGTTGCAGCGCCGCTTGCCAAGAGTGGACGAGCCCCTTGGTTTCTTAGTCAGCTTACCCTATGGCAGCACGATGACTGTAGGTTTCATGGTGTGGAGGCAAAAAAGGGTCGTTCTTTCATGTCTGGTCTGGTCTGTTTTTTCTTGTCGTCGTTCCTCCCTCCCCCCTCCCCTCCTCGCCGTCGGCTCCTCGCTCTTCTGCCCGTTTCAGTTTTGTTCCTGCCTTTCCTTTCTTTGTCGGCCCGCCCCGCGGTCCAAGCAAGAGCTGCGTCGGCTGGAAGGGTCCCCCTGTGATGTGAAAGGTATCCCAGCGCTGCGCGTTTCAAATGTTTTGAGGAGGGAGGCAAACGCGGGCGGTATACCAATGCGTGTTCAGCCTCCAGCCAGAGCGCCATCCATGTGAGAAAGACTCATCTGCTATAACGTTGTTCCAGCGCTGCGCGTTCCGGGGCTTCAGAAGAGGGAGGCAAGAGAGGGTATACCAGTGCTTGGCCAGCCTCCAGCCAGAGCGCCATCCACGTGATAAAGGGCAACCTGCTATGAGCCTGTTCTGCTTCGCGCTGATGATGCCGAGCGGGGACGAAGTCTCGCTGATGCGGGAGCTGCTCCGGAAGAGCCAGGGCATCTTCTTGTGCGACAGGAACATGTTTTTTTCGGTAGGAGATGTGCGAACTTGGGAGGCTTCTTTGCCGCTTGAGTCCATGAAGCAGCGCGTGACATAACCGATCGCGATCAGAACCCGTTCTCTGGTATCCGCAGTAACGTTGCAGGGGCGGGATAGAGTTGGTCCCTGGCAGTTGCGATCGAGCCATTCTCCCATCCCACCTATCGCTCGCATCAGGGATCGAATTTTGCGTGTTTGGCTCCCCGCCAGGTTTCGGCCGATTGCGATGTCGGCAAACTTGCAATCTGTGTTCTGGTGTCTATCTACAGGCGTGTTGTCCTCGAGTGCTCTCTCTTTCTGTGTGTATATATATGTATGCATAGACGTTTAGACATTATCGGATGCCGCGCTCCCGTGCTGGAGGGACTGGCACTTTTCAGGCTTCAACGTGCTGGCCTCCCTTTTGTGCGGCTGGAGCAGTGCCCCCTCGGCACCTTTGCGGTCCGTCTTCTCACCGCGGACCGTGCGGCAGTGCGGACCAGGCCGCCTTTTGCAGAGTGGGTGTGCGCGCTCGTCTCAAACAGCGCCGTCTGTGAGCTACTCCGTGTTCAGCAGCGAGGACGTGGAGCTGAGCGCAGGACGCGCGCCCGGAATCGCCCTGGTGTTGTCCTCTTCGCTTCTGCGGTCTCTCCTCCGACCTGCCCGCGCTGCAGGTCTGACCTGCCTCGTCGTAACGTCGTTCACTCCCAGAGCGCAAGAACAGTCGGCGGCGGGCCCGGGAGGGAAGTGAGAAGGAGAAGGCCTTCTCAGAAGTCTCAGAAGCCCCTCGGCCTCCTGAGAAGTCATCTGAGCCTTCCCCGAAGACACGGAGAACTTCTCGGAAGGCGCGAGGGCTTCTGAGAAGTCCCGCCGCCTTTGAGAAGGCCTTCTCCTTCTCACTTCCCCCCCCCGCTCGCCGCCGAGATGGGTCCAGACCTCGGGGGGTCGACATCATGAAAGAATCGTGCCGTTGGGGGTCGTTGGGACGTTTCGGAATGGGAGGACGGGGGGGATCGAGGGAGCCAAACGGGGGGGGGGAGGTCGAGGGATGCGGGAAAGAGGCCCCTTTCCCGTGTGTCCCGGAAATGTGTGCGCAGACGCCCTCGCCTTTTTTCTTTTTTTTTTTTTTTTTTTTTTTTTTTTTTTTTTTTTTTTTTTTTTTTTTTTTTTTTTCTTTTCTTTGTTTTTTTTTTTTTTTTTTTTTTTTTTTTTTTTTTTGTTTTTTTTTTTTTTTTTTTTTTTCTTTTTTTTCTTTTTTTTTTTTTTGTTTTTTCTTTTTTTTCTAGAGTTTTTTTTTTTTTTTTTTTTTTTACTTTTTTTTTTTTTTTTTTTTTTTTTTTTTTTTGTTTTCTTTTTTTTTTTTTTTTTTTTTTTTTTTTTTTTTTTTTTTTTTTTTTTTTTTTTTTTTTTTTTTTTTTTTTTTTTTTTTTTTTTTTTTTGTTTTTTTTGTTTTTTTTTTTTTTTTTTTTTTTTTTTTTTTTTTTTTTTTTTTTTTTTTTTTTTTTTTTTTTTTTTTTTTTTTTTTTTTTTTTTTTTTTTTTTTTTTTTTTTTTTTTTTTTTTTTTTTTTTTTTTTTTTTTTTTTCCGGTACCGAATTTGTAGGTACACCTCACTTTCCCCCCCCCCCCTTGCTCACCGCCGAAACAGGCATCGACTCCCGAGGGGAGCAGGACGCCTCCGCAGCTCTCCGAGGTGCTCGACGCAGCTCGCGTGCGCGCGCGCGCCCGCCCTCTGCCGGCGGGGGGTTCGAGGGACGGGGCCGTTGCTGCTCCGGCGCGAGCCCAGGAGGAGGAGGAGGAGGAGGAGGAGGAGGAGGAGGAGGAGGAGGAGGAGGAGGAGGAGGAGGAGGAGGAGGAGGTCCCCGATCTAGGCTTACGCCACACCGTGTTCTTACCCATCGGTCGTTGAAAGTAGGTATTCTGGGGGTCCCAGATTCCAATCTACTTCCAGCGCCTTCCTGCCTCCATGATCGAGCGGCTTTTCGCCTTCTCCGTCCTCCCCAGGGAGGCGCACGGAGCCCAGTCTACTCTGAACGCCTCCCTACTTCATGGTTCTGCCTGCTTCTTCTGACCGATGGATGTTCATTGTCTTGCCGATCGGCACGGGCCCTCGCACCCCGCCTCCCCCCCCCATGGAGTAGATCTTGGCTGTTTTTGGGCGCCTGTTCAGAGCAGGCGGGGTCTCCCCCAAAGGACGCACTTCTGCAAACAGTCGCACTCAGTAGAGGTCCAGAGCCAGACCCCCTCCCCTCCCCCCCCTTCCCGCCCAATGTCGAAACGCCGACCAAGAAAACGTTCACCACTTGAAAGATCTGGAAGCGCCGTAGGTCGAAGAAGACGCATCGGCATACAGTCAAGACGCTGACAGAAGGAGCACTTTGGGTCTGGAAGGGGCTCAATGTTCCGTAGGTTCCTCCAGCTGTTCCTCTTGCCCTCCTTGGGCGCGGAGGCGGTCTTAGGGCCGAAAAGGGGCTTCGTCTCGTATGTAGCGTTCCTTCTTTCAGCGGCCCGACTGTACAAATAGACTGTCGAAGGCCCGCACGCTTTTGATATCAACTTCTTTGTGTGTTTTGTGTCTTTTCTCACTCCGTTTTCCTTTTCTCTTTTTTCTCTTTTTTGTTCTTCTGTCTTTTTTGCTGTCGAAGGCCCGCACGGATTTCTTTGATCGGTTCTGGACCTCCCCTGGCGGCGCCTCGGGCGCCGCCCCTGTCGCTCTCCGCGCGCCATGGAGGGGCCCAGCGCCGATCCGAGAAATCTGCGTGGACCTCCAAAAGTTTGCGCGTGTGCCTTTGTTTTTGTTTTGTTTTGTTACCCCTTCTTCTTCTTCTTCTTCTCCTCTTCCTTCTTCTTCTTCTTCTTCTTCTTCTACGCAGGGCGCCTAGTCCCTGGCTGCCTGGCCCAGGGTGCCCGCTGGATCTCCAGGGAAAAACCCCACGGCCTCCAGAGCACCACTTGCGCGATACAGAGAGCCCCAGGGGCTCCAGCACGGCGCGAAGAGCTGGGGGCACCTTGGGCCACGGCCACCCTTCGCAGCTTCCGACGTCCCCAAACATTCGGCGCATCGTTTTTTTTTTTTTTTTGTTGTTGTTGTTTTTGTTATTCTTTTTTATTATTTTTTAATTTTATTTTTCATATATATATATATATATACATTATTTTAAAAAGGCGTGGGGCTCAGAAATTTAGACTTCTTCCCCAGGAGGAGGAGGAGGAGGAGGAGGAGGATGGATGTATGGATGGATGGATGGATGGGGATGTGCCATCAACAACGAGTCCCTGGCCGCCGTCCGCAGGCGGACGACTTGCAGGGCCCCAGCTGTCTGTCCGCGGAGTCGCCGCGGCGGTGGTTGGCCCACGGCCCCCGTCCGCAGGGGGACGAGACGGGCGGCCGTGGCCATGGCACAGGCGGGCCACGCAGCGCGGGGCACCCGCCGAGCATGCCCGACTCAGCGCGCTCACCCGAAGCACTCCTCGCACACCGTGTACTGGCAGGCAGCGCACCAGTAGGTTGGGGAGCGGCGGGGGTACACGCGGTGGCACCACTCGCACTCGAAGGCGAAAGGTGGTCGTCGGCGCAAGGCGAGCTTGTGGTCGCCTGGGCACGCGAGCTCAACGTCCTCCGAGCTCACGTCGCCTGCTTCCACCTGCTCCTCGACAGCGTGCGCCATGGCGTCGCTGAGCTGCGGCGTGTGGTCGTTGCGCACGTCCCCGCTCACGTCGAAGTGCTCGTCGGCGCCAGCTGTGGGACCCACCATGCCGACGCAGGCAGTGGGGACCTCTACACGCACGCGGGGCCGCGGCTCTCCACGCCGCACCGGGACTCGACCGCGCCCCCGCTCGCAACGGTGTCGCCGCACACGGGGCCGTCGCCCACCGCGCCCCCGCTCACGTCGGTGTCGCAGCCCACGGGGGCCGTCGCTCTGCTTCTGCACGGAGTCCACGCGCTCGGTCTGGCGCACCGCTCGCCGCCAGCCCGCCTCCAGCCCGACGCCGAAGGCGATGGCCTCCGACTCGAAGTCGCGAAGCCGCCAGTCGCCAGGGGCATACCAACGCGAGCCCGCCTCCACATCCGTGCAGTCGAAGTCGTAGTCGTCGTACGCCTCTAGCTCCTCCTCCTCCGGCGCCGCGGGGAGGGAGAGGAGAGGCGCGTCCACCCGCACCGCGGTGTCGGCGCCCGCAGCGTCCAGAAGCCGAGCCTCCAGCTCCGCCACGTGCAGCACGAGCCCGAAGTCCTCGTCAAGGCGCGGCCGGGCCGCCGCCCGGGCCAGGTCGGCGGCCGAGGCAGCGGCAAGGCCCCGTGCAGGGATGCGCGCCGCGTGGAGCGCGGCGTCGCGGCGCCGCCTCCGGGAGCCCGGGACGCGGCGGCCGCTCGCCGCAAGCATCAGCGCTGGCCGTGCAGCCGCCTTGCGGTCCTGCCACGAGCCGGGGCAGCCCCGTCTCGGAACGGCGGCCTCCACTGCCGCCAGCCGTCGCCTGCGCGCGGCCCCTCGGACAGCAGAGGCGCCCAGCGAGGCAGTCTCGAGCGCTCGCAGCGCCCCTGGGCCTCCCCACAAGGGTCGGCCCCCCGCAGCCACCATAAACTTCACCGCCAGGCAGTCCCCCTCCATGGCCACAGGACGTGGCGAAGGGGAGAAGGACTGAGCCGCTCTCGAGCGCAGAAGCAGCAGGGAGAGACACGGACGCGCAGCCCGCCTGTCGCCCAAGGCAGGCATGAGCCAAAATGGCTACGGAAACGATGAGGAGGAGGAGGAGGAGGAGGAGGAGGAGGAGGAGGGAGGAGGAGGAGGAGGAAGGAGGAGAGGGGGAGGAGGAGGAGGAGGAGAAGGAGGAGGAGGAGGAAGGAGGAGGAGGAGGAGGAGGGAGGAGGAGGAGGAGGAGGAAGGAGGAGGAGGAGGAGGAGGAGGAGGGAGGAGGAGGAGTGAGGAGGAGGAGGAGGAGGAGGAGGAGGAGGAGGAGGAGGAGGAGGAGGCGGAGGAGGAGGAGGAGGAGGAGGAGGAGGAGGAGGAAGGGGGGGAGGAGGAGGGGGAGGAGGAGGAGGAGGAACTTCCCTGCGGCGCCTCCGAGCGGCGCGCCCAGAGGACCGCCGGCCCGGATCGGCACCGAGATCATCGGCTCTCCCGCCGAGAGGGCCCCCTCTGCTGAGCCGCCCTGGTCTGGGATGCGAGGGGGATAGGCTGCCCCCCGTCCTGTAAGAACCGCAGCTCAGAGGAGGAAAAGGTCACTCTTACCCAGGGTCACTCTTGCGTGTAGTCGACAAAACGTCCCCCCAAACCGAACTGGGCAAGAGGCCCCAAGAATCGACCAGTCGTAAGAGTGACCTTTCGCCGGAGTGCCCTTGGGTGCGGGCCCAATGGGATCCCCCGATCGCCGAACGCGATGCTATAGTAGCCGTCTTGCGCGCTTGTGTGTTTGTCCCCCCCCCCCGCGGCCCCCCAAAAGCCGTGCACCAAAAGTCACTCTTACCCAGGGTCACTCTTGCATGTAGTCGACCAAACAGTCGGACCGAGGTACAAGATCGACGTCGGTTCGGGGAGGGCACCCTAATGCTCTTCGTGCTTGTTTGATGTTCTTGTGCATCCTGGCGGAGGGCACCCTCGAATGTTCTTCAGTTTGGCCGGTGGAGGGTCTCATGTTCTTGAAGGATGTTCTTTTGTCCTAGGTCCCGCCGCACCGATACCGCCAGCCGTCCATCGTTTTCCCCTGTTTGGGTCTCCTGGGAAACCCTCGGCGCCACGGCCGGATTCGCCTCAAGTTTTGGTCAGAGCGCACCCCGGGAGAGGCCCAGGGAGTGGCGGTATCGGTATCTTTCGGCCTCCCCTGTAGCGAGAGGCGTTCTGAGTCGTTTTCGGCATTCGGGGGCCCTCACCGGGCGGTCCTGCTGGTGGAGAGAGAGAGAGAGAGAGAGAGAGAGAGGGAGAGACAAAAAACCAGAAAATGAGAGAGAGAGAGAGTCTTTGGGGCTCCTTGGGTCGTCTCGGGGCGATCTCGGGGGCCTCTTGGGCCGTCTTGGAGAGGTGGAAATCGGAAAGGCGAGAAGGCTCAACTCCCGAACCATTTGTTTTGAGGACGGTCAAGGTTTCGCCTCTTGGGCCCTCTTATGAATCCTCTTGGGCAGAGAACTTGAGTCAAAGGGAGTGGGGCTTCGCCTCGACTCGCTTACGACCTGGCTCGATGATCCTCGCGCTGGCGAGCTTGGAGAGCCAGAGGCAGCCCTGCGGGAAGGGAGGAATAACCTTGACTCAGAGAGCGTCTCCCAGGACCACCCCAGGACAATCGGCCCAGAACTCCCCATCACACACGCCGACAGGGTCGGCGGATTTGTTCACGTTTATGTATGCCTGCATCGAGGACGCCTATGACAAATCACCGCCGCCCCCTGCCTTCTGGAATCGCCTATGTGGCCGAGCGTTGCGGCAAGAGCTCTTCCAAGCTATCGGACCATGTGTTCCCCCAGCCGTTGTGGAAACCCTTCGGGGAACACGTGGGGGAGGATGGCGGGGAAGATCAGGAGGAGGAGGAGGAGGTGGAGGAGGAGGAGGAGGAGGAGGAGGAGGAGGTGGAGGAGAAGGAGGAGGAGGAGAAGGAGGAGGAGGAGGAGGGGCATCTTGGGAGTCTCTGGGGACACTCTTGGAGCCTTCTGGGAGCTTCCCGGGAGCCTCTTGGAGGCATCTTGGGGGCCCTCTTGGAGGCCTCTTGGGGGCCTTCGGGGGCTTCTCGGGTGCCTCTTTGGCCATCTTGGTAGGCTCATAGCCCGTCTGACGCCGTCGGAAACCGTCTTGGGGGCCACTCTGGGCCGACTTGAGGCCCTCTTGGGTTCCTCCAGGGCCGTCTTGGAAACTGTCTTAGGCGTCTTGGATGCCTCTTGGGCCGTCTTGGGGCCCTCTTGGGCCCGTCTTGGAGGCCTCTCGAGCTGCTCTAGGGCCATCCTGGAGGCCTCTTGGGCGATCTTGGGGCGATCTTTGGAAGCTCTTGGGCCGTCTCGGGCCGTCGGAAGGTCGAAAAGAAGCAAATGCCAAACTCCTTCAAAAACCTCAGGACAATCAATGACTTTCGCCTCTTCGGGCTTTCCTGGGGGCTCTCTTGGAGGCCTCTTGGGCCGTCTTGAGCCATCTTAGGGCCATCTTCGGCCGTCTTGGTGGGCTCCCGGCCCGTCTGACGCCGTCGGAAGCCGTTTTGGGGGCCTCTCTGGGCCGACTTGGGGCCCTCTTGGGGCCGTCTTGGGGGCCTCTTGGGCCGTTCTGGGACCATCTTAGAGGCCTCTTGGTGATTCTGACACCCTCCTCCGTGCACCCATTTTGGCTCAAGATGGAAAAGAGATATCTTGTCCATCGACATACTATCTCATCATGGTAGCGTGAGCTGGCCACTCACTGCTGCCGACCCCACCAAGGCCTCGGCGCGCCGCGTCCGCGGGCGCCACGGCGAGCTGGCAGGAAGCTCGAGGCTGGAAGAGGGCGGCATCGGCCGCAGCGAGCTCGGCAGCGACCGAGCAACCGGCAGGGGCCGGGAAGAGTGGCCGCAGGCGCGGCAAGAGGAGCGACGCAGCGATCGAGACCAGGCGCAAGCAGCTCCAGTTCAAGCACGACTTGAGGGAGGCAGGCGACAGGCTTCGTGACCTCGCGCACATCGAGGACCATCCGTCGGAGAACTCCTCAGACGTTGTCGAGAGAACGCAGAAGGAAGTCCTAGGACGGATCACGGACCTCGAGCGTACGAGGCAGGAGATAGCTGAGAGCAGGGAGGAGCTCGCCGAGAGACACGCTGTCAAACATGGACGAGCAGGTTCGGCATCAGTTCGAACTGCTGAGGCAGGAGCTCGCGGCTCAAATAGGTCAGGCAGCCGACGAGATGAGGAGGCTGGAGAACGAGAATCAGCGTCTTCAGCAGCAGGTGGCAGGAGGCCTCGCGGCAATCCCGCAGGCGATCGAGCGGATGGGCGAGCAGATCAGAGGCGCGACGAGCGCGGGTGGAGCCGTTCAAGGTCTCGTAGACACCAAGGGGATCGGCAAGCCCACGACGCTGGGCGACGACCAAGAGAAGTTCGGCGCCTGGAATCGCAAGATGGAGAACTACGTGATCGGCGTGTACGGAGAGAGTTTTCGCCCTGTTCTTCGGTGGGCAGCCGAAGCCGAACGCCCCGTGACGATCGAGGGAGCTCGGGCGGTGCACGACGGAGTTCCAGAGCTGGAGACCAAGGTCAACCAGCTGTACGCGGCGCTGATCAGCACGACGGCGGACGGCAGCGAGAGCAACGACCTCGTGACGGGCGCCCCCGACGGGAACGGTCTCGAAGCCTGGCGGAAGCTCCACCGCAGGTGGGATCCGACGACAGGCCCGTGGAAGAGGCTGATCCTGAGGTCGATCATCTCGCCTCCGAAGTGCAGCGCGGACGAGCTGGGGTCCGCCTTAGAGAAGTGGATCCAGCAGATAGGCAGGTACGAACGCCGCCAAGGAGAAGATGGTCTGGCCGAGCTGCCGGAGGATATCAAGATGGCGGCCCTCGAGATGCTCGTGCCTCAGGACATCGAGAACCACCTCGTCCTCAACAAGCATCGGCTCGTCACGTTCCAGGACAGTCTGAACGAGGTGATGACGATCGTGGAGGCTCGGACCGGCATGAAGATCAAGGAGCCATCGATCCGTGCGCGGGCACATCATCCGGACGACATGGACGTCGGGTCATTCGGAGCCCCGAAGGGCAAAGGCAAAGGCAAGGGCAAGGACGGCAAGAGCAAAGGGAAAGGCAAGACTCAGGAGCCGAAGGGGAAGAGCAAATCGACGAACGGATCATACTCAGGCTCCCTCACATCCCCGACGGGTTCGGGCCGTGGTTCAGGGCGCACGGCACCTCGAAGCACCAGCGGGCGTCGTTTTTTTTTTTTTTTTATTTGTGTTCTTTTTTTTATTTGTTTTTCTTTTTTTTTGTTTTTTTTTTTTTTTTTGGTTTATTTTTTTTTTTTTTTCTTTATTATTTTATTTTTTTTTGTTTTTCTTTATTAGTTGTTTTTTTTTGTTTTTTTTTTTTATTATTTTTTTTTTTTTTTTTGTGTTTTTTTTTTTTTTTTTTTTGTTTTTTTTTTTTTTTTTTTTTTTTTTTTTTTCTTTTTTTTTTTTTTTTTCTTTTCTTTTTTTTTTTTTTTTTTTTTTTTTTTTTTGTTTTTTTTTTTTTTCTTTATTATTTCTTTTTTTTTTGTTTTTTTTTTTTTTTCTTTGTTTTTTTTTCGACGGATCTACTGGCGGAACGCGAGAGATGGTTTGTGTTTTTTTATCAAAGAGGCCACAAGGCATCCGACTGCTGGAGGAAAGAGCAGGGATCGAGTACGAGGGCTGGAACTGGATCCGCAACGGGGGCAAGCGCTTGTGGTAAAGTCGGTAGCCGCGGCGGCAAGGCCGGCGGCAAGGCGGCAGGCAGCCTGGAGGAGGAGCCTGAGGCGGAGGTCGCCGCTCTGGACCTGGGCAGCTTGGACTGCCTGGAGCTCGCCAGCGGCAACGGCCGCGGCGTAGCGGCGGTCGACCTCTCCCCCTTCGTGCAGGACGACTGGATGAAGTTCAACTGGGACAGCGGTGCAGCTGTCTCAGCAGTCCCTCGGAGCTTCGCGCCGCCGACGGGAATGAAGGGCAACGGCAGCACGTATCGTACGGCCAGTGGTGAGCTCGTCCCGGACGAGGGCAGCTTGCAGCTCAAGGCGGAGGACGAGTACGGAGTGCTACGAGCACTCAAGGGACGCGTGACGAACGTGCACAAGCCGTTGATCTCGGTGGGGCAGGCAGCAGGAGCTGGACAGTGTTCATTCCTGGGCCGCAATGGCGGCTGGATATTCCACGAGAAGAGCCCAATCGGCAAGCGCGTGGTAGGCATGCTCGAGAAGGAGGCGAAGGCGGCGAAGCACCAGATGCTGCCGGTCTATCGCGAGCAGGGTGTCTACAACTTCTACCTCAAGAAGGGCCAACATGGCTCGGTTGCTCCTCTCGAGGAGGGACTTTCGGCAAAGTCGAAGTCCGAGCTGGTGGAGCTCCTCAGCGGCAAGTCGAAGGAGGAGCTGCTGGAGATCCTCGAGAAGACAGTCCCCAGGAGGCAGCCCTCGGCGTAAGCCCACTGGAGGACTTAATACCACGGCCCCCGGCGGCGTCGGCTGCGGGGGCGGCAGCGGCGGGGTCGGGACCTTCCGACGTGAGACCGCCGGGTTTTCAGCCAGCGGCAGCTGCTGCGGCCGACGCTTTGCCAGCTGCTCCTGATGGACAGCAGGCCGACGAGGGCGAGGAGGAGGCTCGCCCGAGAGTGCTGAAGGCACCTCATGAGCCCTCTCAGAGGGAGATCGACGAACACGAGGCGATGGGACACGCGACTTATCGCAGCTGGTGTCGCGTGTGTATTGCGGCAAAGGGCCAAGGCCAGCCGCATCTCCGCGCACCGGAGGACGACGAGACGGCGGTGCCGGTGGTCTCGTCCGACTACGCCTTCATGGGCCAGGACGACGCGGACACCATGCCGATGCTGGTACTTAGGGATCGGCGCTCGAAGATGATGGCAGCGACATTCGTGGAGAAGAAGGGCGACGACGCCTACGCCATCAAGTTCTTTGCACGCTTCTTAAGGATCCTGGGCTACAGGAAGATCGTCAACAAGTCCGACGGCGAGCCAGCGATCCTGCTGGTCAAGAGGCGTGCGGTGGAGGAGGTTCCTGGCCTCGAGGCCATTCCCCAGGAATCGGCACCGGCCGATCATCAGGCCAATGGGGAGATCGAGGTCACGGTGCGCGAGATCAAGAAGCAGGTGCGGGCGCTCAAGATGGACCTGGAGTCCAAGCTGGGCGTCAAGGTGGAGGACAAGCACCCGGTGCTAGCGCACCTGCCGGAGCACGCCGCATCGGTAATCAACCGATACCGGCGCGGCCAGGATGGCAAGACCGCTCTTCAGCGGCTCACGGGACGGCAGTGGAGGAAGCCGGTCCCGCTCTTCGGCGAGCGCTTGATGGCGCGGTTCGCCGGGGAGCGCGCGAGGACGAACGCGCTGGAGGAGCAGATGGTGGAGGCTCGCTACATCGGCCACCACCCGCGCGACGGCTCGATGATGGTCATCACGAGCGACGGCGTGAAGAAGGCGGTAGGCTTTCGCAGCCTGCCGCAGAGCGAGAAGTGGATCACGGCGGGCTGGGATGGCCTGAAGGGCCTGCCGTGGGACGTGGCTCCGCGTGCGGCAAGCGCGCCGCGGGCCATCGTCGGACCTGGAGAGGTCGGACCGCCACCAATTGTGGTGGCGTCGCCGCAGCCGCAGGCGCCGAGGAGGATGTACGTCCTCAAGGCGGACGTCGAGCGGCTGGGCGCAACGCCGGGATGCCCAGGGTGCGTCTCGATCGCCAAGCACGGCCGGGTGCTGGCTGGCCACGCGCACAACGCGGTGTGCAGCAAGAGGATCTTCGAAGCGCTGGACGCGGAGGAGGCAGGCCGGGAAAGGACCGGCCAGTATCGAGAACGGAGGCAGGGCCAAGAGGCCAGAGTCCGACCAGCGGCAGCGGCCGCGGCAGGGACCCCTCCGCCGAAGACGGCTCGGAGGATCACCGAGCCGGTGGCAGCGGCGGCAGCGGCATCGGCCGCGCCGGCCGCGACCCGATCGGCAGCAGCGCCAGCCGTGGCAGCCACAGCGGCGCGCATGCGAGAGAGCCAGCCGGTAGCACCGGGCTTCGGCGTGGCGGCTCCTTCAGGAGGAGCGAGCTCCAGTTCGGGAGCGGCGCGAGCGGCAGAGGCCGCCGCGGATGTCGACATGACCGCGGCCAGGTCGCGGCTGAAGCGCTTGGCAGAGGTGGCCCCGGATGACGTGCCGGAGGCCCTCGAGCGCGGTGATCCACAGCCGGCAGACGTGCCGGTACCGGTGGACATGGAGGATCTCGCGGCGCAGCCGGCGCCCGCGGAAGGACCTCAGCTGCCAGCTGGAGTGGCAGTCGTGTGGAACGCCAGTGAGGGGAGGCACATGCGGGTGCTCGCCCTCGATGTGGCGTCGATCGAGCTAGTTGAGCTCGGAGCGCTGACGAGAGCGAAGGCGGAGTTGCTCCCGCTCGTTCGCGAACAGGTCAGTGGCCATTGGGCCAGCGCCGGCGTGGACATCGCCGACGAAGAGGTGGACAGCATCGCCCTATCGGCGTTGCAGCTGGGCGCCGTGGACGTGGCCGAGGTGTACTCGCCACATCGGTTCTCGGCTCGGGCAGCGGAATTTCAGCTGCGCCCGGGCTTCGCGGCGGACCTGGAGGAACTCAAGGAGGACGGGGCGCCGTGGGACTTGCGGCGCCCCGAAGATGTCAAGGAGCTCGAGAAGCAGCAGGAGCGGATGGATCCCATCCTGCTCACGGGGTCCCCTCCCTGCGAGAAGTTCAGCTTGCTGAGGGGCCTGAGCGCCAAGTTCAGGACCGATGAGCAGGAGGCGGCTGAGATGGAGGAGGCCAGACACCACCTGAAGGTGGCAGTCGACGCCTACTGGCGTCAGCTCAGGAAGCCAGGCAGGTACTTCCTGCATGAGCATCCCTGGAGCGCGCGATCGTGGAAAGAGGACATCGTCAAGGAGCTGGTCGCGCATCCAGGAGTCTTCACGGTCAAAGGCCCCATGTGTCGGTGGGGCATGAAGCTCACGAACCCACGCAGTGGTCAGGAGGAGTTCGTGCGCAAGGAGACCGGATGGGTCACCAACCATCCAGGCTTAGCCCGGAGGCTGCAGGGCACTTGCAGCAATGTGGACGGCCGCGCGGACTGGCATCGCCACATCACGCTCGTGGGCGGCATCGCGCGGTTCGCGAAGGTCTATCCACCGAAGTTGGTAGAGGCGGTGCTGGAGGAGCTCAAGGACACGCTGAATGACGTGGGAGAGCTCAGCACCGCCCAGGTGCAGCAGTCGGGCCCAGTCCCAGTGGATGCGGCAGTGCCGCCCGGGGACTGGACGAGTTACTGGGACGACGTCAATGGCGGCTACCTGGAGGCGGGCCTTGTTGCCCAGGCTCGCGCGGTCGAGCGCGAGTGGGTCAAGAAGCAGGAGCTGATCGAGATCGTCCCGAGGTCTCAGGCTTTCGCCGAGACTGGGCGTCCGCCCATCCCACTCAAGTGGGTCGACACGAACAAGGGTGACGCGGAGAGGCCCAACTACAGGAGTAGGCTCGTCGTGAAGGAGATCAAGGCGAAGAAGCGCCCCGACGAGCAGCTGGAGGCGTCCGAGGTCTTCTCGGCCATGCCTCCTCTGGAGGCCATGCGGTCGCTGGTCTCGCTGATGGTCACGTGGACGCGGGAAGCACCGCTCCACATTCAGGAGTCGCTTCGCAAGAAGGGCAGGAAGCCGGGCAACTTCAAGATCGGCTTCTTCGACATCAGCAGGGCGCACTTCTACGGGAAGGCGCAGCGGAGAATCTTCGTGGAGCTGGAGGAGGAGAGTCGCAAGGAGTACGGCGAGGACAAGTGCGGCCTACTCCTCAAGTCCTGGTACGGCACGCAGGACGCCAGCAAGATCTGGCAGGGCGACTACACGGAGCTGCTGGAGGAACACGGCTACAAGGCGGGCGTGTCGTGCCCAGCGGTCTTCTACAAGGAGGTGGACGAGACGAGGCTGCTGGGGCACGGTGACGACTTCGCGGTGCTGGCTCAGCAGCAGGACATCGACAGCTTCGAGGCCACGCTGGGCAAGAAGTACGAGTTCAAGAAGACTGCGAACCTAGGCTTCGACGAGGGCGATGACAAGCAGGCGGTCTTCCTGAATCGGGTCATCGAGGTCAGTGCGGGAGTTCCGCCTGGCGGTGGCCGGCCCTGCCGGCATGCGATGATCGAGCCGGACACGCGGCACGCGGAGATCGTGATCGACGAGTTGGGTCTCAGCAAGGCCAACGGCGTGGACACGCCGATGGAGAAGCGCAGCGCCGACAAGCAGATGATGGATGCGAAGTCGGCGGCGTTGGGAGCAGCGGAAGCTTCGCGCTTCCGATCCCTCACCATGAGGGTGGCCTACCTGTCTCAGGACAGGCTGGACTTGGCAGAGGCATCGAAGACGCTCGCTAGGTCCATGCAGACGCCAACGGAGGCGAGCTGGCTCATGCTCAAGAGGGTTGGCCGCTACCTTAAGCGGCATCCTAGCACGGTGACGGTTTTCACGGAGCAGAAGATGTTCGACAATATCCGGGTGCACGTGGACTCTGATCATGCAGGCTGTGCAGTCACGCGGAAGAGCACAGGAGGCTTCGTGGCGATGCTAGGGCATCATGTAGTCAAGCACGGCAGCAACCTGCAGTCGACGGTTTCATTGAGCAGCGGGGAGAGCGAGTACTACGCCCTGGTGAAGGGCGGGAGCGTGGGCCTAGGCCTTCACAGCCTCTTCGCGGATTGGGGGCTGGACCTGAAGGTGGAGCTTGCCTCAGATTCATCGGCGGCCCGGGGCCACGTCCAACGGCGAGGTCTCGGGAAGATGCGACATGTTCAATCACGGTACTTGTGGATCCAGGAGCGTGTTGGCAAGGGCGACATCTCGATCGCTGCGGTTCCTGGCAAGAACAATGTCGCGGACGTGCTGACCAAGAGCGTGGGTGGATCCCTTTTGAGGAGACACATGGCGACGCTGAATATCTGGGATCGGGCACCGAGTTCGACTCAGAAGGACTTCAAGTGATGGAGTGGATCGAATCCATGCTCCGCTACCTGTGGGGCTGGATGAGGTTCCGCCGGCGGCGGTATGATCGCGCCGGGCGGAGTGAGGGGCTCGCGGCATGGCCGCAGCCTAGCTGATGAGCTGGGCGCGTCGGCTCGGGCGCGCCCGCGTACGACTTAGGTCGTGCCTGGCCGGTTTGCGGCCAGGCCCGAGGAGGAGTGATTCTGACACCCTCCTCCGTGCGCCCATTTTGGCTCAAGATGAAAAGAGATATTGTTGTCCATCGGCATACTATCTCATCATTGGCGCAATCCTGAGGCCGTATTGGCCAGTCTAGGGGGGCCTGGAGCCGTCTTGAGGCCCTCTGGGGCTGTCTAGGAGCCTTCTTGGGGTTCTCTGCGGCTGTCTTGGGGCGATCTTGGGAGCCTCTAGGGCCGCCTTGGACGCTGCGAAAGTTGAGGAGGCGAATCTGGTTGAAGATTACATGTTGCAAAAGGGAGTGTGGCGTGCGGTGCCTCGTGGGGCTCTCTTCGGACGCGTCTCCTGGAGCCTCTTGGGGCCTCCTGGAAGCTTCCGGGAGCTTCCGTGGGGCGCCGGGCGCCCGAAGGTTCGGCATGTCCGCTCGGGTTCCTCCTCCGGGCCCCCTCTTGGCGCAGTCCTGAGGCCGTCTTGGCCAGTCTGTAGGGGGGTCCTGGAGCCGTCGTGAGGCTCTCTGGGGCTGTCTTGGAGCCTTCGCTGGGGGCCTCTGCGGCTGTCTAGGGGCGATCCTGGGAGCCTCCTCTGGGGCCGTCTTGGACGCTGCGAAGGCTGAGGAGGCAATCAGATCAAACATCACGTTTTGCAAAGGGAGTGGAGCGATTCGTGCCTCTTGGGGCTTCCTTCGGAACGTCCCTTGGAGTCTCTTGGGGCCTCCTGGAAGCTTCCGGGAGCTTCCTCGGAGCGTCTGGGGCCCGAAGGTTCGAAATGTCCGTTCTGGTTCCTCCTCTGGGCCCCTCTTGGCGCAATCCTGAGGCCGTCTTGGTCAGTCTAGGGGGGTCCTGGAGCCGCTTTGAGGCCCTCTGGGGCGATCTTGGGGCCATCTTGGGGACCTCTGCGGCTGTTTTGGGGCGATCTTTGGAGCCTCTGGAGCCGTCATGGACGCTGCGAAAGTTGAGGAGGCGAATCTGGTTGACAAGTACGTTTTGCGAAGGGAGTGGAGCGTGTTTTGCCCTTTGGGGCTCTTTTCGGAGGCGTCTTGGAAGCTTGTTGGACATTTTGGAGGCCTGTGGGTCCGTCTGGAGGCCATCTTGGACATCTGGGAGCGATCTGTGCGCGACTCGGAGTCTTCAGACTCATCCCCTTCCCTCTTTACGCTGCTGCAGCCATCCTCGCTATCATCTTCTTCGTGCTTGACTTCTTTCCTCCTTCTCCTCCTCCTCCTCTCGTATTCCTCTTCCCTCTCCTCCTCCTCCCTGTCCTCCAGGGATCCGGAGGCGCAGGGCCATGTCGGGCTGGGGGCTTCGGTGTCCAGCTCGGGGTGGTCCTGCGTTGTGAGGTACAAGCTCGGCATGCAATGTATGGAGGTCGTGTTGGCAAATCGTCCGGGGGATGCCCCTGGGGGTACCTATTCGTCCCGGGAGCGTCTCTGACGATCCTGGAGCCCGAAAACGACCCCTGGAGGCCCATTAACGGTGACAAGCCGAAGGCGACCAAAACGAGCGACTCTATAATTGAAATTGGGCGTGGCAGCCTTTGTCATGCGGCAGAAGGTCATGGGGGGGAGGTGGGTTGAGATGCGTGCCTAAAGGGGTGCTAAATGTGGCCTCGCAGAACCTCCCCCTAAGGATCCTTAGGGGGGGCGGGTTCGCAACGCACCTTCTGGCAGCACAGGATCTGGCGACCAGTTGGGCTTAAGCCACTCTCGTCACACCTCTCCACTTTTTGATGCGCCTGTTTTCCACCACCACCATAAGTTGGAGGGGGGAACGAGGTGGAGGATGGCGAGGAGGAGGAAGAAGAGCAGGAGGAGGAGGAGGAGGAGGAGGAGGAGGAGGAGGAGGAGGAGGAGGAGGACGACCCCCCTCCTCCTACTTCTGGTGGTGGAGGTGGAAAACAAACCCACCACTTTTCCCGCTCCCCAAACCCTGGGAGAGAGAGGTCGATGTGCTTTTGTCGGGGTGCGGGGTTGGGGGCGGCCGCCTTGCCCTCGCCGTTCCTCTGTCGTCCACTGTGCGGTGGGACGAACAGAGGGGCGGCGAGGAGGCAGCCTGGCTGAGCGGTCCGCCAACCCGCGCCTGCTGGAGACAGCCTATCCAAGGTAGGTGTCTAGTTTCTCCCCATGCGACGAGATCCTGGGAAATTTGCGCAGGGCAATGCAGGAATCGGCGGGGAGCTTGGGGGGAAGTGCGAAGAGGCGGGCCTTCTCAGCAGACTCGGAAGCCCCCTGGCCTTTTGAGAAGTCTTCGAAGCCTTCCCCAAGGCACGGAAAACCTTTCAGACGGCGCGGGGGTTTCTGAGAAGTCTCGCCGCCTTCTGAGAAGGCCTCCTCCTTCTCACTTCCTCTCCCTCGCTCGCCGCCGAAGGAGGGCTCTGGGGACCCCGAGGACGGCGGCGGCGTGGTGGCTGCCCTCACGCAGCGCGGCTTCGGCGCCGCGGCGCGCCTCGGCCGCGCGGCGGGCGAAAGCCACGGCAGGGCGCAGAGCACCTCGGGGGCGGGCCTGGGGGCCTGGGCGCGGTGTGCGCTGCGTCGGCGCCGAGGGTTTCTGGACGTCTCCGTCGGCGCCTGTAGGTTTTCCGGCCTCGGGGCCCTCCCCTGCAGCTGCGCCTCGCCGAGGGCGTGCCGGGGGGCCCGGATCGTCCCGATCGGCCGCCAGAGACCGGAGTGATGTTCCAAAGACCAAACCAAGGCCCAGAGGGCCGTGTGGCAGAATCTCGCCCCGTCGACGCTGGCGGCCCCGAAGCGCGGGCTTTCGAGGCAGTTGAGCGCGTCCAGTGGCCCAAAGTCAGCGACATCGAACTATCTGCACTATCGGAGATCCGCGGCCCTGTAGGGCTAAACGATCCGCACGGTGTCAGAGACCAGTGCTGGCGCCATCGCGACGCGGACCCGCCGTATGTGCAGGGGTTGCCCGCGCAATGATGGGGGCGTGGCCCAGCCACGCGCCCTCGCGCCCCCGACCGCCACAATTACTAAACAGCCTTGGGCGTTTACAAACCACCCCTGCTCTGTTCGATCCCTCCCCGTGACGCTTTTACCGAAAGCTTCGCATGTCGGAGTGCTTATTCCCCACCGGACAGGGTGGGGTCGTTAGATTTTAAGAACAGACCTCCCGGCCACTCCCACCCTGCATACCGCGGCCGCCAGACCCCAAGTTGTCACGAGAGTCCCCGTTATCCTGCCGAGTGCCCTCGACAAACATGACAGAACACATTCTGCATACCGCGGCCGCTAGACCCCAAGTTGTCCCGAGAGTCCTGGTTATCCCGCCTCGCGCCCTCGACAAACACGACAGAATACAGCCTGCATACCGCGGCCGCCAGACCCCAAGTTGTCCCGAGAGTCCCGGTTGTCCCGCCTCGCGCCCTCGACAAACAAGACATAACGCAATATGGCACAACAGAACATGACGTAACATATCAAGAGCATGACATAACGTGTCAGAACATAACATATCAATATCATGATGAAACAGAGGACACCAGCATATCACATAACATACCATAGCAGAACATGGCATAATAGAAAACGACAGAGCACAACATAATGTAACGGAACCGAGCATAACATCAGACACATTGACAGGGCTCATCATATCATGACACCGCGTCACCATACATGTTATAGGACGACAGCAGGGCGTAGCGGCGAACACGCCAGACCATAACATGCCACACCAGAAGATAAGATAACATGGCGCGAGCATGCCATACCATGACAGAGCGTAACATAGCATATCAATACCACGACAAGCAAGAGCATAGTATAACGTCACATATCATATCACATCACATCATGGTAGAACAGAAGGCGGCATACTACCACATTGCACAGCATAACCGAGGACACCATAAGAAACATTGGCAGAACATCCCATATCATTGCACTTCTTATCATAACATTTCATAACACGAAAGTATAGCGCATCGTTACCTACTAGCACAGCAGGTCATACTATATTATACTGTGCCGGGCCGTCCACAAGCACAATGTAACATAACACACAAACTAATAACATGATAGAGCAGACGACGAACTAAAGTTATACAACATACCATAAACGAGCATAACATGACACACTATGGCAGGACACGTCATATCATGACACAACATCACATAACATATCATAATACGCCACCACATCATTGCGAACCATACTAGCAGAGCACATCACACCATAGCATATTGAGCCGAGCCGTCAACAGCATCACGGAACAGAGCATACTAACACATATTACGTCAGCATATCATGCAATCGCATAGCGCCGCAAAGCAGATCATACCATCGCATCTCCAACCATATGGCGACATCTATGAGCATGCCATCGCATATTCAACCATGAGAAACATACAGGTGAAGAGGGGCATCACAACAGACGATGCATCTAACGTCACAGGGGTCACGACGTCATTCCAGCCCGTCGACACCAGAAGAGGACATAATCAAGCATACCATGAAATATCATTACTACATGGAACACGGTTGAACCGTTTTTGAATACGGAAGTGGCAGTCGTGTAGTGAAGGAGAGGAGTACCACGACAGAGCAGGACATAGCAAGCCATACTAACATTTCATACCATACGTTACTATATTGAGCCGAGCCGGCAACGCCATCACGGAACATATCATAGCAAACATAAGTTGAGAGCACATATCATGCCTTAGAATGTGCCACAGGGCAGGGTGAAACATAACGTGCCAAAGCACATTGAGGAAACACCGTGCGTGACAGAGCATGCTTTCATGAATGAGATAACGGAAGGGCAGAGGGATATCGTAACGTATTCCACCTACGTACATTTTGGTCAGCGTCGCCATTGGA